AAGATTTTAACAACTCTGAGCTATTAGTTAAGTTCTCCCCAAGCGAGCTCGATGGGCCGAATGGCCTCCTCTCGTTTGTATAGTTCTTAGTTTTGTGTCACCCTTGTATGGTACGTTACATATTTGCTTGACTGGCTACGGTATATAAGGAAGCCCTCAGAAGACATCGAATTATTGTTCCATGTTTGGAACCGATGCACTCATAATGTTTGCCTGACCTTCCCTACAATAGATGAGAATGACGCTTTATGAATCGATGCTTTGGGTTTGTGAGAATAACCCTAAAACAATTCTCACCCCTCACCTAGTGTTTGAGTCTTTTGAGATCTGTGAATTGATCCATGCCTGCTCCTTGTTGCTCCTAATCTTCAGTGTTTGTTTGATTGTAATGGCTCACACCTGTTCCTTATTACCCTTGTGTGTCCTACCCTTGCTTTGTTCCCTGTTGGTCACTGTGTTTGCTTCCTGCATGTTCTCTAATGTGGATAATCTTGTTGTAATTGTTTATAGGTGTTTTGCTTGTGTTCTCTCTTCTTGAGCCTGTAGATATCCTTGTGTTGCCTACCTGCCTTTGTTTTGGCCCAGCATGGTCCTTTTGTTCCATGTCTAGTCTGTTTAATGTCTAATAAAGTTCCCTGATTGATCCACATTGTGGATCATCCCTTCACCATGCCTGGCTATAACAGTTAGGTTCTTTATTCTTACTAGTATTCCCTATTGTATCCTAGTCTGATTTCTAAATTAACTGTTTTCCATCACATCCATTTAAGCCTTGCTGGCTTCAGAGGTACCCAGCACCACTAAATGCTGCTGGAGGATCATCTGTGATCATCTCAGCTTCTTCATTCTCGATCTCCGTGACCGGGTCAGACACTGGGTGCATGGCTTTAACATTTAATCATGGGCACTTTAGCAGCTTGTTGCCTCTAAGTTTATGTGGATGGAGATAGATGTGGATTTGCACCATAAATAATAAGAAAGAAAATGGGAGGTGAGTCAGCCAGTTCCCAGCCATTATTATGGTTCACAACATTCCTTACTAGAATACTATTCCCAAGGCGCATAATCTTTGAACTTCCTCAATGTAAGGACATTCATTTCATTTGATCAGGCTGAGTTGACTTTTCAAGAAATATTGTTACAATCTCAGTTTCCATCATGTTTGAACATCTGGCAGAGAAAGTCAAAGAACAAGACCATTAGTCATCACCTTATCTTCTCATCAGTCTACAGAGTGCTATCCACATGGTTCCAGAAAATAAGACCGCCAGTGTAAAGCAAATGTAAAATTTGGCTTTCTTATATAATAAATAACTGTAATCAAATCCCTATTGTCTATGAAATGGTCGTCGTGTCATATTAACCACTGTGAGCGAACGCGAGGAAGCAGCCCATGGTGTAATCCTTTGGGATGAGTCACACTGAACCGCCGTGTTGAAGGGGGCATGTTGCTGATGAGGTGATCAGTGACTCGATCCTGTTCCCACCACAATCCACAAAGCGTTTGTTTTCATTTTTATTCTTTTGTGGTGTTGAAAAAGACTGCCGTGTGTAACTTTATGAGCATTGATCGGTCTGCTTAATAGAAGGGTAAAAAAATGGCTTATAAATTATTTTTATTTTTTCTTAAGTGTTGAAAAATTGCACTGAAGTGTATTTAGGTTTATCAGTATCACTGGAATTTTGAGTAATTCATATCCAGTCATCGTCCTGTTATCAAACATCATTTCAAAACATTTCTTTTTGTTTATCGCGCTTAAACATATAACCAGGATGTGAAACAATAGTTTTTATAGTATTTAATCATCAGTTGTGTGTAAAGTCTGCTTTGATGGCTGTCATGCACTCTGACATCGCTCTAAGTTATGTCTTTATAGTCATTGTCCAATTGAATTGAATGCCCATAAGCCTGATGGTCATTGTTGATAAAAGCGATTTGTCCCACAGATGCTAACCTGCAGTACCGTCCAGTGGCCAGCAGGCATTACTACACGCTACCCGCCAACAGCATCGAGCGCCGGGTGTTACCGCCGCCGCTCAGCTTCAGCATCGAGCCGCCCCGCTTCCACCCGCACGCCAAGGGCAAGAACATCCGGCTGGACTCGCAGCTGCGGCGGGCAGCACGCAAGAGCAGCTTCTGCAATGGTGTCACCTTCAGCCAGCGGCCGGTGCGGCTCTATGAGAAGGTGCGTCTGCGTCTGTCCGGCGTGCACAGCGGCTGGAGCGGCGCGCTGCGCTTCGGCTTCACCAGCCTGGACCCCGGCGAGCTGGCTGCCGCCGACATCCCCAAGTACGCCTGCCCGGACCTGGTGACGCGGCCCGGCTACTGGGCCAAGGCGCTGCCCGAGAGGCTGGCGCTCAGGGACAACGTGTTGGCCTTCTGGGCCGACCGGCACGGCAGGGTCTTCTACAGCATCAACGAGGGCGAGCCGGTGCTCTTCCACTGCGGCCTGAACGTCGGCTCCCCCCTCTGGGCCATCATCGACATCTACGGCATCACGCAGGAGGTCACGCTGCTCGGTGAGTCGTCCGAATCCACCACGAAGCGACGGGCGGATTAATGCTGTGACCCAGGGCATTGGGGTCTGCAATATCGGCAGCACCCAAGTGGCCGTGCTAATTCCAGTTTAGGGCCCCCAGATAAGGTAATGCGTCCCACGTGAACCGTGTGGCTTTAAATCCCCCCCAGGGACATGAAGGGGTGATGACACCCAGGCAGGTTTTTAAAGGTTTTGAAGTTGAAGTACAAATCCAGACCAGGGTTTTGTTTGAACCAACCAGTTGAGTACTCTGTGACTCTTTATACTTAACTGGTTGGTTGAAACAAAGTCTTGGTCTGGATTTGTAATTCCTGGACCTGAACTTTCCAGCTGTGTTTGCGCTGCATTAATTGGGAGCTTGGACTTTATCGTTCAGGCTGCGGTAGCGGGCAGCTTATGGAATGTGTTACAACTCAGTCCAGAATAGCAGCTGAGGTCAGCATGGGGGTTAAGCAGATGGGGGGGAGGGGTCACTATCTCGTCCTCTCCGGGCTGTGGGTCTCAGGCCGGGGCTTCAAGAGGCCAGAGCCTAAGAATATGCAGTGATATTCCCACCTGGGAATCGGGGACGGGGCCTCTCTAGGCTCCGGCGCTTTGTTTTGCTCCGTCTGGCAGAAGGCCTGACCATGTTTGGTAAAGCCCGCGGCAGATCCCGCTGGCGCTGGCGGCGCGTTCAGACGGCGGCTGCGCGGGGGCCCCGCGGGGGCCCCGCAGGTCAGGGCGCTCGGCACGTTGCTGCCTTTTTAGCATGCGTTGTAAAGCTTCCCTTTGAAACAGATCGCAGAGGCAGGGATGACGGCGGGATTCTTACCTGCTAATCACATGTAAAGATACGCGGGTCATGAAGTTGACTAGAATCAATTGGGCACAAACCATTTTACCCTGAACCTTTTAAAATAATGACAGTGATGATGGTGACGATGATGAAGATCTTTATTAATCCTGTCTTTGTTGTGTGCTTTACCTGGTTCTGTCTTCATTATGTGAGAAGCTTCTGTTTTTCTCTTCTAATCTAATTCGGTTTTTGAGTAAACGCAGGCAGCGATGTGCAGCTTTGCCAGTAGTGTTACCAGGATGCCTGGCTGGAGTGGAGATTCGGGTTTGTTCGATGGCCACCCCAGTGTTCAAACTGTCGATGTGTCTTGGGGGGGTACCCACCCGGGGGGGGTACCCACCCACGCCCCTGGACAGGATGAAACAGTGATGCTAAGATTCTCCAGTGTCTGTCAGTGAGCGTGAACTTAATTCCTGTACCTGTAACTGTACCTTATGACCTATGCTTCCTAGTAACAGCAGCCGTGATTGGTGGAAAAGGAAGATGGGCGTGGTTAAGGTGGGATCAAGGTTGAAATACTGAGTGAGATTAAGGTGGCGCAGTGACCTGGCTGGTGCTGACAGTGTGACCCCTCCGCAGAGAGCACCTTTGCGGACAGCATGAGCTCGAGCCGCCTCAGCGCCGCCCGTCTCAGCGCCTACCTGCCGCAGAGCAATCACGACTCCGCCAACTACAGCAACAACCAGCTGGAGACCAATCAGGCGGCCGCCGCCAAAATGGCCACACTGCAGCTTGGCCACTGCAACCAGCTCATCCCCTGCTGCTCGCCGCCGTCCTCGTCCGCCGTGTCGGCCGGCGGGCCCCGGTCCCCGCGGGGCCCGCCCTCCCCACTGGACACCGAGCTGCACTTCCACCCGGTGCGCGGCTCCGACGTCATCCTGTCGGCGGACCGCTCCTCGGCCTGCATCCACTTCCTGGACAGCAGTCGGACTGTGGTGTTCAGCGAGCGCCCGCTGCGTGTGGGCGAGACGCTCTTCGTGCAGGCGGGCCACCTGGGCCTGCCCTACTTCGGGGCGCTCCTCTTCGGCGTCACCTCCTGTGACCCCAGCACCCTTCGCCCTAGTGACCTGCCCGCCGACCCTGATGTTCTCCTGGATCGTAAGGAGTACTGGGTGGTGTACCGGGGCATCCCTACGCCCAGCTCTGGTGACGTGCTCAGCTTCACGCTGCTGTCCAATGGGGAGGTTCACCACGGCGTCAACGGCGCGGCACGAGGGCGCCTGCTCTGCGTTGACGCCTCTCAGGTCCTGTGGGTCTTCTTCACCCTCCACGGCGCCGTCAACCGCCTGCGCATCCTTGGTATGCATTTTGCGCAGCTGGGTTTTGAGTATTCTGAGCCTCTCTTTCACGCAATGGACTTAACGCTCTGATCTACATCTGTCATGTTCAGGGACGGTGCAGTCCAGTCCCATCTCCAGCTCCCCGTCAAGCTCACCGGGCGGAACCCCAGATGACAGCGACTCGGACCTGGCATTCAGTGTGAACCGGTCCTCGTCAGCTTCAGAATCCTCACTGGGTAAGTACTGTGCATCCAATCAGGTATAAAGTACTAGGTACCAGTCGTTAGTAAAGTAACTGTGCCTGTCGATGAGCTATGCTGTCACAAACAGACACACACACCATGCATGTTTGTATTTATATCTTTGTAGGAACGCATTTCTATGGGAAGAACCCTAATCCCACCAATGACAACCTTAACCCCTACCCAGCCTTAACCCTAACAGGGCACAGTCACACACCAGTCACTTGCCCATGTACACCTACGGGCAATTTGGCAACTCCAAATAACCTGAGCATGTGTTCGGATCAGATTAACCAGAGGAAACCCCACAACGACACAGGGAGAACATGCAAACGCCAATCAGGTATCCAGTACGGGGTACCAGCTGTTGATAATCCAAAGTAACTGTACCTGTTCATGTGCTCATGGCTGGATTATGCACCAGGCCCCCGGCTGCAGAGGCCCTCAGAGCACTAGTCGCAACATTTATAGTGCAAGATAAACACTGCAGCCTTCAAATACAACGTTCACCTCCAGGGCTCCTCTTCATATAGACTAGAGCAAAAGAGACCACCCAGTCCCCAGGGCCCTCTGCATATAGAGCAAGAGAGACCACCCAGGGCCCTCGGTATATAGAGTAAGAGAGACCACCCAGGGCCCTCTGCATATAGAGCAAGAGAGACCACCCAGGGCCCTCTGTATATAGAGTAAGAGAGACCACCCAGGGCCCTCTTTATATAGAGTAAGAGAGACCACCTGGTCCCCAGGGCCCTCTTTATATAGAGTAAGAGAGACCACCTGGTCCCCAGGGCCCTCTGTATATAGAGCAAGATAGACCACCCAGTCCCCAAGGCTCTTTGTATATACAGCAAGAGAGACCACCCAGTCCCCAGGGCCCTCTGCCTATAGAGAAATAGAGACAACCCAGGGCCCTTTGAAATATAGAGCATATCAGGGTCCCCACGGCCATCAGCATACATATCTCAATTAACCACCAGGGGCCCCCATATATATAGCACAAGTTGACCCCCACCAGGTTGCCCGGGCCCCTCAGTGTATACAGTGAGCATTGACCAGCAGCATCAGGGCCCACTGTATCTATAGCAAGAGTTGACCCCCTCGGCCTCTTGACGTATACAGCACAAGTTAACCACAAGGGCCCCCAGCCTATAGGGTGCAAGCGGATTACCAGGGCCCCTGGGGCTTATACACACAGAGCCATGGCAGAGACTCAAACCCGGGTCCCAGAAGTGTGAGGCAGCAGTGCTAACCACTACACCACTGCACCACCCCATGCTAGAGTATGTAAAATGCAAAAAGTGCACTCTCTAGTGTGAGAGCAGCCCCTGTAATTTGCCGTTTGCCTCATACGCCTGCCTCTGTCTTCTGCCCCCCAGTGACAGCCCCCAGCTCGCCTCTGAGCCCCCCCCTGTCGCCGGCCTTCTCCCCACTGGAGCTGCCCCTGACCAGCAGGAACGGCGAGTGCACCGTCTGCTTCGACCAGGAGGTGGACACCGTCATTTACACCTGCGGACACATGTGCCTCTGCAACGACTGCGGCCTCAAGCTGAAGAAGCAGATCAACGCCTGCTGTCCCATCTGCCGCAGGCCCATCAAGGACGTCATCAAGACCTACCGGCCGTGAGGGCGACTCGGGCCGTGCGGACAACCAAGCGCGGTCGGACCGCGGGCTCCTTCCGTGGCTGAACATTAACTTGTCTGGCCTTCTCCTCTCCCTGTGTCTCTTCTCTCTGTCGGTAACCTTACAGAAATGTTACACACAACCAAATTGGAGGGTCAGGGGTCTTTATCTCTACCAGTCTTTTTATCGGAAACCTGCCAGTGCCTTTGACAGTCTGGTGAAAAAATGTCTATTTTGTTCTTGTACATAATACATGTTTGACAATCATGATTGCTATATTTTTACAAGAAAAGGTGAAAAGAGTCAGTGGTACTTTTGACACTCAAAAATGCGCAAAAGTTTATTTTTAACCAAATGAGAAGGAAGACGTGCTAATTTCACATAAGCCCAGACATGTTAATGAGGAAGAGAATAAGGAAAGTGCTGTTGGGTGGGGGGGGGGGTAAAATCTGTGTCCCGGGAACAGGCAGATGAAACAGGTAGATGGGAGGAATAGTGAGGGATAGTGAAGAACATCACCTGGACACTGCTGTGCGTTTGGCCAGCCAGCCTCATATACATGAGGAAAGTGCAGCTCCGAGGTATTTTTGTCCGTGAATGTTGGACACAGTTAATGTTCCTGCATTGTTAGAGAAAACATAGTATGCAAATTTAGGAAGCCAAATAAGTAAAATGCAGCAAAATACTGTGATTTGAAGCTGAAGTGTACAGGGAAATATTCTAAATATTTTTTGTTGGGCAGACATTGCAGTTGATAAAAGGTTAAGCAAAAGCTGATGGACCTTTATGATTTGTGTAGTTAAATTGGGGAAAGACAATTCCTCCAGACTGTCCACAACCATGCGTACTGTTAAAAACATGATGGAGGCAAATTCTTCATCGCCAGACCTGTATTTGGTTGAGGGCAACATGTACAGCCAGGTTCCTTGTGTTCTTAGCAATCATGTACATGGAGCTGAAAGGAAATTCTCAGCTACCAAGAAATCGCCAACATTCACCACGAAGCCAATGCCGCAGGCGCTTTGATGTTGGCAGGAAGAGACACAGAAAACTCTTTTGACATTACACAGAAAACAGTCCATGTCTCAGTATGTTTCTTCTGTCATGCTTTGCATTTTGTAAGCAAAATGTGGTTTCCAGCAAGTTCCTTAACTGATACACTATATTCATAGCTCTAGATAGTTTTCAATACCCAGTTGTCATTAATTCACCAAACTATGTTAAGAAAATTCAGAATTAGAGTGATAAACAGATTGCAGTTTTTTTATGAATGGAGAAGTAATTTATTTCTCAGATACTTTAGTAGTGCATTTATGGGATTCTTTTGTTGTCTTCTAAACATATTTCTGCTGGTAAATTTGACATGAAGGTCGCTGGCTTAGGTGAGAGTATCTCACATTGCAGAAATGCATTGGGGCTCACAAGTAACATTACACAGATCTCCTTCAATAAATCCTGTTCCTGTTTTGTAGCCATCATGGTGGGACTTGTTTTCAGTGTCACCCAGTTCCTTTCCCCCCTGAAGAGCGTGAGAGTTAAGATGATGGGCTGCTTTCAGAGGCTGCGCTATGGTCCTGAGTAGAATACTCTGCCTATAATGTCTCCCCAGCAGAAACAGGACAGTAAATTCATATGGTGCCTTATGCAAGCCTTTGCACTATTTCCTGGGGAAATTACGTTACACACAAATATTTCACGAATCACTAAAAGTACTTTGGCATTAATCAAGGGCCGTGCTACACCATATGCAAGGAATGGGCATAAAGCATTATACACCGAAATATCAGTTGAAAGAAATGACATGAACTCATGTGTGTTTTACTGGAACCCAGTGTGGTGTACTGTAGTCTCCCAGCTGCTGGCAGAATTACACACTTCATTGTTTGACAGACTGGACAGTCTCTGGTTTGTTGTAGGACCCAATCAAAATGGTGAAGTAGGAGTATTAACTCAGTCTGCTCTGTGGGAATTCAGATCAAGCCTCTGAGGAAGCTATAGAAGAGGACTACAGACTAGCTATAGAAGAGGACTACAGGCTAGCTATAGAAGAGGACTACAGGCTAATTTTGAAGCTTTTTTTTGTGCACAGAGCAACATCCCAGCAAATCAAATAAAGGTTTCCCAGGCAAAATCAAGTGGAACACTAGAGGGCAGCAAAGAGCTACATTAACTGTGTTTGCTTTCCACGTCTTTAATACACTATATATTATCTATATCACTTTTCAGACATTTCTCAGCTTTTATATATATGTGTTAGATTAAATCACATATTGTGTTACGCTCTGGTTTGTCTTAGTATGCAGAGAAAGTGTGCAGGTTGTACTTTGTGTGTGTGCGTGTGCGGTCATTCATTTGCATGTAATATTTTTCTTTTAGAACTGTGTTGAGCTGTGTGACATTTTTTGTAATGCGTTGAAGATCCTCTTAGTATTGGTGTAGCACAATGAAGTATTTAAAGAACCTTTTTAAAAAATCGAAACTACATAAACATCGTCCATAAAGACAGTATCCAATAACATAAGTCTAACGATGAGAAAAAAATCCAGAGGTAGTTCATTTAAATTTGGTGTTTTGTTCTTTATTGGAGTGAAAGTATCTTGTACTTGCGTATTAGCCCTCGGACACACGTGTCATTAGCAGTCTAAGTTGTGCCCTAGCCTTACTCACAGACGTGATGTTCTCGTTAACAGTGACATATGACCAGCTTTTGTTTGGTGCCTTCCTGTTTCTCAGATAACTTATGGACTTGATGCAGTTTTGTTTTTGTCAGTGTGTACATGTGCACTAAGAAGTAGGCGTCATTTTACTATGAACTGAAAATCTGGACACTTGTTTTGTATTTACAGCACTGCAGGTATTGAGTTACAGCAGAAATGTCTGTAAGACCTTGATTCTAACGTTCAGAGTCCCTATGAAGACTTTTGTAGTTGCCACAGTTAAGTGTCAAAGCTTAATTCTGCCAGAAAGCCTCATATGTCACAGATTCACTTTATAAATAATCAGTTGCAAGTGTTCTGACTGAAGAGGAACAGCGATACAGTGATACAGGCAGATATAACACAAAACAACAGTGTCAGGCAAACAAAATAAAGGCTTCTACATTTTTATTATCATAAATACTGCAGAATCATGATGCTCTGCTAAGTCTCTGCTGTTGGTCTGAAGTGACTTCAAGATGCAGCTTTAATGATTATTCTTGTGTAGCAGAGATACGCTGATTACTGAAGGCGTAAGTGACTGAGAATGCCTTCACACCCCGTCGTTTATCCCCGTTCTGAGAAACAATCAGGGGGGAAAAAAACAAGGTATAACATAAAAATGACTGGAAGGGGATTTTCAGAAAATGTTGTTATACGACTACCCAATGCAGGCTTTCTAACGCTCTGGGGCTTTATGACGTATCTATAAGACGAAACAGCAGCTCCACCAACCGAGGATAATAAGTCAAGCGATTGTATTTAAAACACAAATAACTTGTGATTTGTGTTGTTATTTTGTTGCATTTTCCCCTCCATAGTAAATAAAGCGATGGCAGCCTATTTAGTAATCAGATATTAAGATCTACTGAAACAACTTAAACATGTAAGAACTAACAACAAGCATGCGATTTCATTTCAGTGGGACTTTTATTCTGTTAAATTAAGTTATGCCTTAGTAATACTGGGAATAGAGTCTTTATTGGGAAAATTGGTCATCAGTACTGGGAACGCTTTCCTACAGACCTACACAAATCTTGCAATGAGCATCATGTGAGTTTTACAATATAAATGCACTGAGTCTGGAAACATGCTGCTAAAAATGACATTATAAGCACTGTTATCTAAAATGGGCTCCATTGAAAACAAGCTGTTTTGAAAGAGCTGAACCACATTAAAATGTACTTAAAATATGTATAAACATTTCACTTTGGTGTCTGGAGTAATTCATTGAGAGTAGCGGGGCCTGCAGCATGTCTGGGTAAATGAATTATGTCATCCGCAGTTGAGGTCCTGGCAAAAACAAGTCAGATTTACAAAAAAGAATCTTTTGTATTTGAAAGTGACAGCTATGTTACCGTTCTTTGATTTGTGTTTTAATTTCATTCCTGGAAACATTTTTTTGCTTCTGTAGTGGAATCATTCTGCACCTGTTCTGAAGCAGAAAAATATTGTTAAAAATGGTGGATCAGTCGAATAAAAGTAGCTACCAACCTGGGGTAAGGAAGTTAATCATCGGTAATAATTGTGTCATATGACACTCGATGACCGAGATCAGTCAGAGTCACAAGTCAAAACTAAGGGGTTACTACATTTTACATGCTTGTCACTGCACTGTGTGATGGAAGGTAATCTGTTGGCCGCTGACTCTCAGCTTGGTCCTTGGGGACCTCCAGACGGTTCATGTTTTTGCTCCCTCCCAGTTTGCCGCCAGGACTGTCTGGGTGTCCTTTGGGACTGGGTTGGGAAGCGCTGCTCTAGAGTAATCCCTCCTCACTCACACACCCGTGTGTACCTGTCTGTTCCTCTGCTCTGTATCTTGGAATACAGCCATAATGTTAATTAATGTTTCTTCCTGTGGCAGTACAGAACAGACTGTCCTTCATTTTCGGCAATGCCAAACTGATTTACCTTTTCAAAATGAAAGTTGACAATGGTATCAAGTTACTGGAAGGAAGAACTGAAGCTTTAAACACAAATTTACTATTTCAACAAAACTTATTTTTGTATTTGGTAGAACGTTTATAAAAACACTGGCCCTAGATTATTGCTGGTCAGAGCCTTTGTTTCTGACGAGCTCATCTGTGCCAGATTTCCTGAACAGATAAAACTGATATTCAAGCCATCAAAGTAATAACCGGAAGATGAACCAAACAGTGCAGCAGCATCGCAGGAAGAGCAGCCCCTGAAATACAAACATGCACGGATGCAACAGAGTCTGCTTTGTCTGTCTGCTGATTCTAAATACTTAACTGAGGCACCTTATTGCTGGTCTTTTAGGACTGAGGCCATTACTCCATCACCATCCTGGGATACAGCTGCCTGGCAGCAATGTGGATACTTTACTCCGGTGTAACTCAGAGAGTGATCAATAAGGCGTCTGGAACAATATTTGTTCGACAGTTAAAAGTAGAGAGACCAGTAATAACAGGAACCGTTTGGCTGAAGTTATCGTTGCTAAAGCTGTCGGTTTTTGGTTGTGTGAGATTATATGTCTTCTTTTTCACATCTGAGAAGTTAGACGCTGCGCGAAATTCTTGAGAAATGACATGAGCACCAAAACGTTCGACTTGTTGACGCTGCGTTCCCCTTTTTTTGGGTGGCTCAGTGGGGGGCATCGTGGCCTCACGTCTCTGTGGCCGTGGGTTTGAATCCCACCTCAGCTCTCTGCTTGCGGAGTTTGCAAGCCCTCATGCATCGCATGCTCTCTCTAAATTGCCCATAGCTTGTGATTATGTGTGTGTCATTTGCCCTTCATCCCATACAGGGTTAGGGTGACCCCATAATCCATGGCAGGGGGACACTCTGAGCATTTAAAACTGAAAAGCTCTCCTGCTTGGCTAAATAGTTCAATTCTTCTTGTGCTTTTACTGGTTTGGAATCATTCTGCACCCTGTTCTGAAGCAGAAACATTGTGTATAGGCTGTATCTAAGCCATGTGCTCCATGCTGTCTGGGTTGGGCTCCAGGCCCTTGACCCTCACCAGAATAAGCGATTAGAGAATGGATGGATGGAAACCATTCAAACCAAATGCATAAATCAGATAGGATGAAGGTCCTCTTTCGTGTTGCTGTGTCTTCTCAGATATTTAACTTTTAAAGGGGAAAATGTGGATCTCTCACCTGTTGGCTACATCATTTTTTGAAGTCGCTGTTGGAAGAAAAAAAAAGCATAAAACGAGATACAGAAAATAAAATACCTGGGAGGCATAATTGGAATTTTGAGTTGACATGTATAAGGTCTAAGATGTCTAATAATTCTTCTGATGCGGTAATTTTGAAAATCTGTGGTAAAGAAAATCGGAGTTGAAATAATCTCAAACAGTTCTTTTTCTTGGACATTGCGTGTCTGTGAGATCCATAATTAAACTGTATTGTATCACAGAATTAGATTAAAATTCATTTAGGATCATTTGTTTTTAAAATTGACTATTCTTTTGATGCTGTACCATTTCAAAGACTTTCTCAAGCGCAGTTTCCATGATTGTCCATTCTACTAACTGAACTACAGGTGTTTGTAAACAGTTCGGTGCATCCAGGAAGGGATGCCAGTCCATCACAGGACACATAAACAAACACACTCAAGACATCGTAGAGACGCCATTCAGCCCAACTGCGCATCTTTGGACTGCAGAAGGGAAGCAGCCTCTTGGGAGGATATACAACCCAGGAAGGGCACACAAATTACACCGACACAGAGCAGACGCAAGATTCAAAACCCCAACCCTGGACGTGTGAGGCAAAAGTACTACCCACTGTCCTTCTTCCCGCTGCTAATCTTAATGTTTACAGCCGCGTGTCCCCTGTGCATGTGAAGGTGAGTGCAAATCATGACAAACACAAGCTGACCTCATATGTGGATGATGTCACTCACAGCCCCTACGGGAAACGTCCTTTTCTACTTTTTCTACCGTAACTGTTCGATCTGCAGACTTCACTGAAACGGCGAAGGCCCCAAGCTTCTGCTGTATCCTGCCCCTATGGCTCGGGCGGCCCGTTACAAATCGCAGTGGGACAAATTGCTTTTTACCCGGCTCTGCTTGTCCGATCACTGCTTCACTGCAAAAATATGAAATTGCTTCATCGTTTCCAAAATCTACACACCTCAGCCTGAGCGGCCCAGTGGGACGTGAATATAATCACATGAGACGTTAACATTCTGTGTTCTTTCTCCCATCTGGCACAAACTCTATTTTTCAAATCAATAGCAGGCGTTTCACACTTGAATCCTGGATCCAAGAAAATAACACATACAAAGGACATTTGTGATAATAACATTTTTTGACAGTCTCCAAAGTGTAAGGCGCATTCTACTTACAAAACAGTCAACACCAGCCCCAGCATCTCTGACTAGGGAATTCTGTCACTGCTTTTGTTAACATCTCCATCCCACTTTTTCAGCTTTCTGTGGACAGCTGCTTCAGATTTCAGCACAGACACATTTGGTATCCAAAAACATAACAAACTGACATTCAGGAGTCAGACGTTTTACAGCTGTACGGCCTGGCAGATCCCAGCCTTCTGGCTCCCCATCCACAAGAGAGCATTGCCAAAGCCCAGTGCCGAGTCACAATTAAATGAAGGGAGGTCATCAATTAACATGTTTTATTTGTCATGTGAATCATGCAAAACAGCTCAATTAAAGCAAAATGCTTGTTGATTTGGAGCTTTGTTGGAAAGTCAGCAGAAGGACTTTGATACGCTCACATTGGACAGATCAAATCCAGGCAGCGCTGAGGAATATGGACACCAGATCTGGAAATCATAAAACCCAAGCAGATGTAGGAGAGGCTGGGGGATGGCTGGACTTTGCCGTCCCCCTATGGCCACATGGAAAATTCCGGATTCCCGCATGACAACTTTTACCAAGCAATGTATTTTGCCGCCCTGAGGGGGTACATTTTGCAGACCTACATACCCTTTGGTCCAGCAGGAAAATGGCCAGTATGCCAGAGGGCCGCACCAGTCCTGGAGGATGGTGAAATGCTGTAATTGAGGTTTGTTCGTTTTTAAAATAAGAATTCCATTATTGTTGATAATTATATGTAATACTGTGAAAGGTCTTAGGGATACGCATCTAAAAGAAAGAATTCTCATCGAAAACTTTCATAACCTTTCCACAGGATATCCTTGCCCAAAGAGACATGATTTACTGATCTCAAGTTAACTGAGGGCTCCATTGAGTGGAATATTAATCATTTTTTTCATCTAGGGGTCTTGATTAATTGACTTCAAAATAGGATTTTTGCATAACACTGTTGTTGTCTCACACAGTTGCATAAAACTGTATTTGCATTGTTCTGGTGTTTCATTTTGACCTATACGACACAGTGTATAAGCACAATGCACGGTATGACTGTCAGAAGACAGGGGTAAAGTCTTTACATTTTTAATTCAGTTTCCTTAAGTGTATTACACGTAAACAGCCACCTGGCCATGAGGAACACACGTGTGGCTGTTTCTGTTAAGTCCATGTAGTTTGTTTCACTCTGACTAAATGTGAGTAAACGGAATGGTCGTGTAAATGGAAATTCTCCAGGATGCCATACACACTTCTGAGTTGTTTATGACGCTGCGGTGTTTGGTGTTATTGTTCACTGGAGAAAACTGAAGCAGTAGAATCGATCACCAGCTGATTTCCTGACATCTTTCCATCACCCAAGCACATTACAAAACAGGCTTTATTTCCTTCATGACATCAATATATTTTTGTGTGATTAAAGGAAGCAGAGACAGGCATCCTAAACATAGTTAGAGCTAGATGTTTATAAATTGTCTTCTATTAACAATGAATAGTTAGTCCTGGCATCCCGTCTCATCCTTGCGCCGTATGTCGGCTGGGATAGGGTCCAGTCCACCCCCCCACCACCAACACAATAAGTGTTTGGAAGATGGTTGGAACGGATGAATAGTTCATTTTGAAATAATTCCCATTAAAAGCAAAGTTCTTTTTCTCCAGTTTATAAACCATGCAGGAAAAACCAGCACAATAGTACAGTACTTTCAATATTTATCATACTAAAAACATCATGCGTAGTTTTTGCTAAATGAATAACGGTATTCTTAAACTTACAATAGAAATACATTACAATAAGCAAGATTTGGGACTCATATTACGGCAAGAAGACATCTGAAAAGGTTAGGCTACATCTCAATGAGCCTCAGTGATATGCACACTTAACGAAGCTGACTTGTTTAGTATTGCAGTATGTCGCATATAGACACGAGATCCAAGTGCAGAGTACATAGGTGCCTAAGAGGCAAAAAGAAAAAAATACTAAAATTAAAAATCAGGACGCAACATCGGAGCCAGGATATCAACCAAGTACTAGTCAAGACACAGAATCAGGTCAATGACTCAAGGCTAGTGAGTAATACGATGGCTCACACAGTGCCCAACACAGGAAAGGGGCAGTGTTTAAATAGGTGATTGATGAACTTCAACTGGATTTAGAGGGATTCAGTGTTTGAATGAGGCTGAGCATTGGAAAACAGCACT